GGGGGGGGGTCGACCCCCCCCCCGGGTCAGATACGACGCCCCCCCCTGGGACTCCTCTTCCCCTGGGCTCCAGCCAAGCCGACCTTGAGCAACCCGTAATTGAGTCGAAGGGAAGCCCCTTCCCTTTGATCCCTCCCCCGCCGGGAGGGGGGGGGGGGTCGACCCCCCCCCCGGGTCAGATACGACGCCCCCCCCTGGGACTCCTCTTCCCCTGGGCTCCAGCCAAGCCGACCTTGAGCAACCTCGTAATTGAGTCGAAGGGAAGCCCCTTCCCTTTGATCCCTCCCCCGCCGGGAGGGGGGGGGGGGTGTCGACCCCCCCCCCGGGTCAGATACGACGCCCCCCCCTGGGACTCCTCTTCCCCTGGGCTCCAGCCAAGCCGACCTTGAGCAACCCCTGGGCTCCAGCCAAGCCGACCTTGAGCAACCTCGTAATTGAGTCGAAGGGAAGCCCCTTCCCTTTGATCCCTCCCCCGCCGGGAGGGGGGGGGGGGGGGGGGGTGTCGACCCCCCCCCGGGTCAGATACGACGCCCCCCCCTGGGACTCCTCTTCCCCTGGGCTCCAGCCAAGCCGACCTTGAGCAACCTCGTAATTGAGTCGAAGGGAAGCCCCTTCCCTTTGATCCCTCCCCCGCCGGGTCGACCCCCCCCCCGGGTCAGATACGACGCCCCCCCCTGGGACTCCTCTTCCCCTGGGCTCCAGCCAAGCCGACCTTGAGCAACCTCGTAATTGAGTCGAAGGGAAGCCCCTTCCCTTTGATCCCTCCCCCGCCGGGAGGGGGGGGGGGTGTCGACCCCCCCCCCGGGTCAGATACGACGCCCCCCCCTGGGACTCCTCTTCCCCTGGGCTCCAGCCAAGCCGACCTTGAGCAACCTCGTAATTGAGTCGAAGGGAAGCCCCTTCCCTTTGATCCCTCCCCCGCCGGGAGGGGGGGGGGGGTGTCGACCCCCCCCCCGGGTCAGATACGACGCCCCCCCCTGGGACTCCTCTTCCCCTGGGCTCCAGCCAAGCCGACCTTGAGCAACCTCGTAATTGAGTCGAAGGGAAGCCCCTTCCCTTTGATCCCTCCCCCGCCGGGAGGGGGGGGGGGGTAGCGACCCCCCCCCCGGGTCAGATACGAGGCCCCCCCCTGGGACTCCTCTTCCCCTGGGCTCCAGCCAAGCCGACCTTGAGCAACCTCGTAATCTCTTGCTGCGCATTGCGAACAGGGTCGGCGGCACCGGCCGTCAGGCCTTCGCAATGGCATCGTCGTCGCGGTCCAGCTCGTCGTCCAGCTCGGAAGCAGGCGAGGTGGAGTAGTCGTGATAAGTACCAAATTGGCCGCGCCTGGCGGATGTCGTTGTCGAGGCCGACTCGCCGCCAGTTATTCATCCACTTCTGGTGCGCTTGGAGTTGTACCTGTCTGTCTCGTAGTGCACGTGCGTTGAAGGGGAGTTCTCGCTCGCGTGCTCGGGCTCGTTCTCGCAGTATGCGGAGTCGGTCCTGTTGCGCGTGTCGATGCCCATGCGGTCGGAGGCCTTCCTCCGCGTAGTACATGGCGGCGTTGTTGCTGATCGCGTGGGTAAGAACTGCAGCGTGCCAGGTACTTCCCCAGATCAGCCACCAAATCGGTGGGGAATCATTCGCGTTCGTGCCCGGCCTGAAGTCCCTCAGCGAGCGCGCCGAAGTCCCAAGTTATAGTGATTTTGACGGCCTGCGCGCCCGCGATCGGAAGTCGTAGTCGCATGATAATCGGGATCTGCTGGAGGGCGTGATCCAAGCCGCGTACTCGTCGATAGCCAAGCCAGTCAAGTCGGATGCTGCGGACTCGCTCCATGAGGTTCTCGTGGCCGATGAAGTTGTCGATTCTGGACTTGGACCGCTTGGGTCCATAAGAGGTGTGGCCGAAATCGCTGC